ATATTGATCGGGGTCCCTGTTGTAAAGTGTAAGGGAATGGAACTAATATTACTCCACAGCAATCCCATTATCAGCTAGACACCTGGACATACCAACATGGTCTCGAGGCGAGATTCACGATTGTCATCAATTCGTTTTGGCCTTTGAATTCATAATTATCATCAATCCAATGCACGCTTGTCGGCGAATAGTATTCTGGGAGGTCTTTTCCACGATCGAAAATCCAATATGGCGACCGTAATATGTCGAAATACGAACGAGKTTATAGTTATAATTCTTGCCTTATAGCCTGCAATTTGGTAGCATATTTGAGTACAGTAGATCCTCACAYATGTCTTATCACCTGGATGCTATTTATTAAGCAAYCCAAGTCGTCAAATGTGATATAAGCTTAAGAGATTCAGAAAGCAACCAGTTGCTAATATGGATCGATATGCTTTTCATTGCAGAAAAATCTAATCTTATTGTTAAGTTATATTGTCTGTTGTGAAATTGTATTTCCGGATCTTCCACGTAAGTATGTTATGAACGTAAAGCATTTTTGCTTTGCTTAAAAAGGTACGTAAACTTAAGACTTAAGTGTATTGACATTGTGCAATAGTTCACAGATCATATCAAAATTTCTTTACTAGTATATCAGTGTTGCAACTTTGCTTATCGATCAGTTGGCTGATTTGTGTTGCAATTTTGCATGCTTAAGTTTATTTATATTAAGTCTTTACTAATATAAGCTTACCTACATGTTTTGTGAATGGTGTATTGTAAGAGCAGATATTTTATCCTTCATAACTTTTCAGGATGGCTGGTGAGTATAGTATATGTATTTTACAGTGTAGGTTATGTTCATATATATATGGATCACCTTYGCCATTCCCACAATCTGAACARCAGCCTTAACAATGGAATCTAGAATTTTGAATAACAAACCTAAAAGAACCTTGAGTTAATTTAGTCAAACATAATTTACTATTGGTAATACTCCTAAATCAATCCTACTAGTAAGGTAAGTACACGGCCAGAGTGCTGTTAACCCACATTACTTTTAAATGTTTTCAGCAAGCTTACAACTTTTCAATACATCTATTAAATACAGATAATCAGTCATCTGGAAAGCGTAGAAGACGAAAAACAACTTCTGCTCAAGCACTTAGAGAAGCTTATGAGATATTAGACAAAAGCTCAAAAAAAAAGAAAAGAAAACCTGGCTATTATGAATTCAGCCATGATCCAGTTACTGGTGTACGCAACTGTAAAAACACCTACTCAAGTGTCAAATATGAACAAGGAAAAAGATCTGCTCAGAAAAAACAAGCACATACAAGCTCTGATTGTAAGGCATATAATTTTTAATSTCTTTACTAAGTAAAATTCAAATTAAGATTCTAGTCATTTTATATCCATATTATTATCTTTACAGTATGCATGTAATGAGGATGAAGTATTGTAGTTCTTTGTTAATAATAAGAATATTTTTTATTATAATTTTTTGTTTCATTCTATAAATATGCATTTGTAGATTCAGAAGATGTACAAGATGATAATGGAGCTTCTGAACTTCCTAGTTGTGATACTTGGAAAGGTAAATACATCAGTATATTTATTGTCCCACATGCCATGTACTTGTCAGGTGTTCCCAAAGGCTTTTTCTAAACACCTTGAAATTTGTCAACTATATGTACACGTTCATATCTTCTCCAGATAGTACAGTAGTATGATGTAGTAGTGTATTTCACGTGTAATTTGAATAGGTGAAWTGGGAAGTGCCCTATCAGAGGCAAAGGAAGTTCTTGAAAAATGGAGCTATGGCAAGCCAAATTTAAAGAAGTCCTCTCAGTCATGGGGAAAAAGAATTGACTTGTCTAATGAAAGCTGGGAGACATCCAGATCCACCATAATTGAGAGCTTGCTCAAATATAAATATGCTGTCTCACAAACTTACTGCCAAGTGTGTAAGAATGCACCAGCTGTCATTAAATGTGAAGATTGTGGGACAGATAAACACCTGTGTGCCACCTGTGATGTCAGTGTTCACCAGTTGCAATCCCTCCATGACAGACTAGGTGTAATTGATGRACACTATAAAGCCATTCCACCAACAGTAGCATTCAATACTGCATGTGACAAATTAATCAACATTGGTAAGACGTATTAAATGTAGATAAGTGTTGTTATTATAATTTGATATACAACTTATTTACTGTGGTGTATGAATTCTTAAAATGATCMTTTAACTGCCACCAGTATACACTGTAGGCTAATGTTATGGAACCAGAATTCACAGGAGATTATAGTCATGATGGAAACTTACAAATTTAAATCTTTCAGAACGACCTCTGCCTTGTGGTGACATCTTTTGTCCTGACTGCAACATCATTTGCCATCCTGTTACTGATAGAGAAAAGACTAGTAATGCAATTTTCGTTTCTCTAAAAGGTACAAATAATCTTATGCATCCATCAATATTGAGACTGGGATGAATGAACTTGTGATTTTCTTCTTAATATAATATTGTCTTTTGTTCCATACAGGGAGGTTTGATGTCATGCATATCATGTTTGAGTGTGAAGAYTGCAAGAASAAGTTTTCTAGTTYCTCTCTGGAGGTCATTGTTCAGCTGGGCTACTGGCCAGGTAGCATCAAAAATATTAACTATATTTTTGATAMAAATTTGTTTTTGCTTTGGCATGAAATAAAAAGCCTGGTCCCTGGCATATCTGAAAGCTCATTTCTAAAATCCCTGGAGCAATTTTCAAAACATCATGGACGGGTAAGTGAATCAGTGTTCCAGCCTTAATCAAATCCTTATTTGCGCATTACAAATGAATCATNGGTAAATACATCAGTATATTTATTGTCCCACATGCCATGTACTTGTCAGGTGTTCCCAAAGGCTTTTTCTAAACACCTTGAAATTTGTCAACTATATGTACACGTTCATATCTTCTCCAGATAGTACAGTAGTATGATGTAGTAGTGTATTTCACGTGTAATTTGAATAGGTGAAWTGGGAAGTGCCCTATCAGAGGCAAAGGAAGTTCTTGAAAAATGGAGCTATGGCAAGCCAAATTTAAAGAAGTCCTCTCAGTCATGGGGAAAAAGAATTGACTTGTCTAATGAAAGCTGGGAGACATCCAGATCCACCATAATTGAGAGCTTGCTCAAATATAAATATGCTGTCTCACAAACTTACTGCCAAGTGTGTAAGAATGCACCAGCTGTCATTAAATGTGAAGATTGTGGGACAGATAAACACCTGTGTGCCACCTGTGATGTCAGTGTTCACCAGTTGCAATCCCTCCATGACAGACTAGGTGTAATTGATGGACACTATAAAGCCATTCCACCAACAGTAGCATTCAATACTGCATGTGACAAATTAATCAACATTGGTAAGACGTATTAAATGTAGATAAGTGTTGTTATTATAATTTGATATACAACTTATTTACTGTGGTGTATGAATTCTTAAAATGATCMTTTAACTGCCACCAGTATACACTGTAGGCTAATGTTATGGAACCAGAATTCACAGGAGATTATAGTCATGATGGAAACTTACAAATTTAAATCTTTCAGAACGACCTCTGCCTTGTGGTGACATCTTTTGTCCTGACTGCAACATCATTTGCCATCCTGTTACTGATAGAGAAAAGACTAGTAATGCAATTTTCGTTTCTCTAAAAGGTACAAATAATCTTATGCATCCATCAATATTGAGACTGGGATGAATGAACTTGTGATTTTCTTCTTAATATAATATTGTCTTTTGTTCCATACAGGGAGGTTTGATGTCATGCATATCATGTTTGAGTGTGAAGAYTGCAAGAASAAGTTTTCTAGTTYCTCTCTGGAGGTCATTGTTCAGCTGGGCTACTGGCCAGGTAGCATCAAAAATATTAACTATATTTTTGATAMAAATTTGTTTTTGCTTTGGCATGAAATAAAAAGCCTGGTCCCTGGCATATCTGAAAGCTCATTTCTAAAATCCCTGGAGCAATTTTCAAAACATCATGGACGGGTAAGTGAATCAGTGTTCCAGCCTTAATCATATGCAACATGTATCTTGAGAATGTTATTATCGTGTGCTGGCAAATCCTTATTTGCGCATTACAAATGAATCATGCTACATATCAACATTCCACAGTCAAACAATGTACAAACTCAAAACACCCTTAACTATTAAAAGAAATGTAGACTGTGAGTAATATGTWCATAATATAATAAAAGAAATTGTAAGATCTTCTATTTCTGATATCATTTCTAATATGGCATTGTCTTACTGCTTTGTCAAGATTGCAACAATAAACAAAACAGCATTCAATGTAGCTTTTAAAGAGTGGAAATTCTGCCAATATGAATTAAACCAGCTGAGAATGTTCAATTGGATGGACTGTCCTGCTTGCAATGAAAAGCAACACTCTGTACATGTAGATGGCAACATGAAATTGTACAGATTTAAATCAGCAAGAACGTAAGTTGCATCACAAGATAATCACAAGTACAGCACTCGTTGGCTTGAAATTTATTTTACCTTCACATTTTCCATGTACTTCTCTCCTAACTCTAATCAGCATCATTCATATAACCATGTGCAACGTCGAATGAAACCTGATGAGCTATGAGCTATTGGTTTGTGATTTGAGTGTGATTTATTTTGTTTGTTCACTCCCAATTTTATCTTCTTTTTATTATGTCTGTGATGCATTACTTACTAAGTTACATTCAATTGTATAATTGTTATTTTAGACGAAAGAGAGATACCTACTACAATGATGTTTTCATTGCCCCTAATGAAAAAGTGGATGAACATATAAATGCAGTTTACAAAGGTTCTAAAGGAAGTGTAAGTAATCTTATAAAGTGAAATACACTACTGTCATAAAGCTGAAAAGCTTTTTGGAAATAGATGAAAATGTAAAAATGAAAATTGAAAATGTGTAAACAATGGGCATTCTAAAACTTGTAGGTAATACACTCAATATGTGCTTGGTGGTTCAAGGATCAGAGCTATTCATTTAATACTTGAATGATTATTTACATTCAGATTGCCCAGAGTGAGAAGGATTGCAAGTGTGGGGATACTAATTGGAGGGCAGCAGGAAATACCCTTCAAAAAAAGAAAAATCTTGTCGAAACTGGCCTTGAAATCGCTGGTTGTAGACATGCATTAGCCCAAAAGTCAGTAAATATGTTCCATGGGGAAATATATGGCTATGCACATTATATGCAAGTCAATTACTTCATCCCTAAAAACATTGATTTCTTTTGGTATGACGTTGTCTGCAAGTATTGGCCATGGCTAGAGAAACATGATAAAGCTAACCATCCAAAGATGAAGCCAGCCCTTTCAGTGTTTCATGCAAAAGCCCATTCTTGGTCTTGTCAGGTAGGTGCCTAAAATATCTGATACAGTGATAATGAATGAATGAAGTAAAACAATAGAAGGTTATAGAATGATCATGTAATGTACTATGTATACATTGTGCATTTATAACTAGCATTTGTTGGTTTTATAACTAKTTTGTTAATGGTAACACGGTAGGTGGKATTATAGTATCGTACATGTATATTAACAGCAGTTTTACATATTCTGCAGTCTCTGTGGGGAGGCAGATGGCAGGAAGGAGCTTGTGGCACTACTGGAGAAGAGGTAGAGCTGATTAATAGCCATTTTTCACGACTTGGGTCGACAACAAAGCATATGCTGCCAGAAGGTAACTAGTACTCATGGGACAAAGAAAAATACATTTGTGAGGACTTTGTAAAATGAGTTAAATCCATTGTTTAACATTTACTGTATATAGTTGCTTTTAATATACCTATCCCACATTTGTGATGCAGATGTAGGTCTTGTTGTTTCTGTTTTGAAAGTGGTATGCAATCATTGCAAAACATTAGATTTTGTATAAAAAAACTAGTTCATTTCCTACTTACTTAAAAGGGCGTGAAGAACTACTCACTGAGCATGCTTTGGAGTGGAATAAAAGAAAGATTGAAAATTTGGCTCACGCTCTTTCAACTCGCTATAAAAAGGTATGACATTAATTTAAACGYATCTATAATGTGTGATTTAGGTAGCAATGTAAGGTGGGTCTCACTATTTGACTACCATTCTTCCTTTGTTAAAATAAYACACTGTTTTGACGTTCTCTAGACTGCAAAGCAGCTCCAAAATGCAAAGAATGAGGTAGACCAGAAAATTCTGGAACTTGGTGTGCGTTTTTCTTCTGTCGATAAACTGCAATGGAAGAAGGATGTGCTTGATGTTGCAAAAGGTTTGATTAGATTTAAATTATTCAAGTCACAAGTGAAAGGAAAAAAGGGACTGATAACATGCTTTAAATTTCAGAGTCACAAGACTTATTATACAGGAGGAATCTGAAGCTAACCTCGGATGAAGAGACATTCCTGTCTTACCTTCTTACCTTGGATCCTCTTCCCGACAAGCAGAAAAAACTTTTGCTTGTTGCAGAAAAGATGCACGGGGCAAGGATCTCGAAATTAACCCCAGAGTCTGCAACCAACATTTCATCCGGAGAAACACAGTTAAAAAACAAGGGCTTGTTATATTGTCAGAAGTCGGTTGAGAATTCATATCATGCAATCACACAGATGACATTAAACATGAATAAGCTGGCAGGTTAATATGAAGCCATCTATCTTGCCATTTAATGTTATTAAAACTTTTAAATTTAAATTAAAACTTTTTTTCCAYCAGACTCTTCTAAACAGCGAAAAGCCTTACGGAATAAGATCTCTAAAGAGAAGGTCAAGCTCAAAGAAATGACTGAATTGCTCAACGGTATTTCTGATGAGCCATTGCTACATGAAGATGTCGAGAATGGATGCTTCTATTGGCAACAAATGAGTGGAGAGGCTTCAAATCAGAGTATGAAGGGCATATTGTACTTATAATGTGTATACTAGTACTATTGGACTCATACCGTTATTACCGGTCATTAAACGTGTCAGAGATTTTACATTCTACATCTCCCAAGAAAGTAAAGTGCCATGTCTTTTGAAAGTTTTGAGTAATTAGTTTCTTTTCTTTATATTTTTGCTATTGTTACCGGTTATGTATTTTTTCCAACCAAACTTTTTATTCTTATCAGTTCCCATTCGCACAAGGCGTTTAGTTGTGGATAAGTTCATGGATGTTGACAGGTTCGAGGAAGNGTACTATTGGACTCATACCGTTATTACCGGTCATTAAACGTGTCAGAGATTTTACATTCTACATCTCCCAAGAAAGTAAAGTGCCATGTCTTTTGAAAGTTTTGAGTAATTAGTTTCTTTTCTTTATATTTTTGCTATTGTTACCGGTTATGTATTTTTTCCAACCAAACTTTTTATTCTTATCAGTTCCCATTCGCACAAGGCGTTTAGTTGTGGATAAGTTCATGGATGTTGACAGGTTCGAGGAAGAGCTTGCACAAATTCAAAAGGAGATGCTAAGCTATATCAAGTTCTACACAAATGGTGTTCTGACTATTCTAAGAAAGCAGCTCATGGAATTCGACGCAATATCAAATATGACAACAAAAGGTACTTTTAATTCATGTTTAATTCTAGAARGAGAAAATGATGATATTCAAACTTCATYTGCACATATGCAATGCAAGTTAGCAAGAGGTGCGGCCGTTCATTACTGCCTTGGTTGTGTTTATAAATAATTCTCCCACAAAGTCTAGCCATTGACGGAACTCGTTTGATTTAAAGTTTTCAACAAACTTCCAAACTAAATATCAATTTGTTCTTTTTTAGGTGAAGCTTCAGGCGAAAATTCATCAATTCAAAGCACGGTATGGTCGAGTACTGATCGATGACAACAAATGAAGTCCATGTATACCAACAACAATCTTTTATCTGCTGATGTGTTATTTATATATTTTTTTCCTTTAAAGCAATTATTGTCCAGCTAATGATTCTGTACTATCCCACCCGGGCCTTTTCAACTGTAAATCGTTGTTAGAAAACACGCATGAGCCCTGTACAGTCAGCAAGTTATTYATTTTCATACCTTATAACCTTTTTGCAGAACCGATATACGACTCCATCTATAGACAAAGGCGTGCTAGAAGGCAAGAAAGCTTTGACAATGGCAGGAGTCCACTTTGCCATGGACCAAATAAAGGCGGGAATAACTGCATTTGCCCCTATATTACCATTGAATTGGAATGCCCTGTACGAATTGCCTGTTATTTCGCAATCCGAAGGAGGCTGCGATGAAGCAGAGGACCGAGATGATGATGACGACCTTGATGATGATGACGAACCTGATGATGACGAAGGCCCTGATAACGCATTTGATGTTGAAGAAAACGATGGAGAAGCCCAACCAGCAGAGGATCCAGTACTCAATTCAGTTATGCATGCAAATCGCATTGCATGCCAGGTTTCTGACAGTCCAGCCCCTGGTGTATGTTGCTGGAGATTTCCAGGTGCTTGTAGCCAGGGTAGTTACAAGGGACGCAATGGTAGCAATGCTTGTAGTGTTATTGCTCTTCTTTTGGGATACATTATCCGCAAAAAGAATGTTCTCATTCCATCAAGCTCCACACAACCAATCCAGCTGCCAGATGAAATGATAGATGCTGTCTGTGGGTGTATTGAACTTGGCAATGATATTTATGACATGTGCCGGGAAAGCCTACCCTCGAGATACCTGTCGATAGAAGAAGCTGCCACGGTGCTGCAATCATGGTATCCATGTGCGCTATACGATCCGCTACCAGTTCGAAAAACCGACGAACATGACATGTCTACCATTACTGCGCAGCTAACAGGAGCAGTTCTTTCAAG